AATAAAAGTTCTATCTTATATAATTTATTAAAGAAAGTTACAGAAAAGAAATAATCATAAGGATATTCAAAGCATGGGCGGAAAACCCGGAATTTCTATAAATATTTGTAAAGGAGATGAAATTTTTAGAAAAGGTTTTATTAAACTTAACTAAAATAACAAATATATCATAGAACACGATCATGCTAAAAAGGGGCTCTGTGTAGGGACAATCATCAACTACGACAACGTCTCTTTGCGGAACGAAATTTTCAGACCATTTATAACGGTATCGAACTTCAATAAAAGATCAAGACCTCTTGACAGGATCGATAAAATAGTTTCTTCGAAAGATCATGACCACTTGATAAATAAATAATCTTTTTTTCAGGATCACGACCTCTTGGGGATCAAATAGATTTCTTCAACCTCTTGCAACGGGATCGAGCTTCAGACATATTTTCTTAAGTGTTTAAGACGTCTTCTAAAACCCAAGAAGTTGCTTTTCAAGTCCTAAGAACGGTCAATATTTAAAATAACACCATAAAAGCAGGATTACAACAATAGATTTAGTAAAAAATCTAAGATAAAAACATATCTGATATTAAAAAACGCAACTTATATATGGTAAATCAACTATTTATTTTCATATCATTAATCTTATGACAACGTATAATTTGACATTATAGTTGTTTCACTTCTAGTATTTCTAGTATGAATTTTTTGATAAGGACGGCCGAAATTGACCCGTGAGCGGAAATATATTCATTCTAAAAGTAGTGTTCCCTTCTAAAATTTCTTTTGATTTGTAACTTGGTTGTTCCGATTTTTCAATGGACTTAGGATATTTCCAAATTGGATTATCGATCTGGATAAAAATCAAATCTGGAATCTGGTTTGAACACGACAAACTAAATTTCTTAATGTATAAGGTAAATTGAATTTGAATTTAAACGAAAATAATAAAAGACGATACACACATTTTCTTAAGGTATTTTATTTATTCAATAATTTTTTTTAAAAAAATATAACTTTACTTTTCTATATAAATAAAATTGAAGTTATTTTCCAATTTTTTTAAAAATTAATCCAAGATTTTGATTTAAAATTCTAATAACATATCCGTGAGCCATCTTTTTCTAGTCGTATTGGATGATTCATTTTGAAATTCTGATGGTTCATCACGATTTTCCACACTACACATTTTGGTATTTGAAAATAAAATATATAGGATTACATAACTCTCATAACGAAAATTTCGGATGCATTATGTTTTATTTATATTACCTTTATCTCCAAAAGTTGGTCTTGTGAAATCTATTTTGGAAAAACAAGGCTCTAACAATATATTCATTTCGTTACAAATATCGTAACTTTTTTACAAGTCGATGTGCAAAATAATATTACTGTATATAAATCACAAAAAAAGTTTTCATATCGAAATTGTTAATTTTTTGTTAAAAAGAAAATAAAGTACAAGATAGGAGAAATTTTTTATAGCACAATATTTCGATAAGTATTTCTCATGCGTTGCTTTTTTTTATTTTATTTTATTTTTTTTTTTTTGGAGAATGATTATCTGAAATTAAATGAAAAGTTATTTCACAAATAAAGTGCGGTAAATCACTCGCTTTTTATTTATGATTATAAATTTACAGTGATGTCTTAATTAAGTAAATTAATGAATTATGATTATAATTTTTTCGTGCGTGAGATTTCATTAAATGATTCAAACTTGGTTTTGTTTATTTATTTGATATTAAAAATATTAATATAAAATAATAAGGATTTATATAAATATATATATTTTTATTTTAGTTTGGATGATGAATATTCAAAATATCACGCGCGCAAGTTCAGAGCATATTTAGTTTTTGTTTTCTGAAATAAGTTGACCAAGATAGCATTGTTTCTTAGGGTTTAACCTATTTGATCTTTTAGACTGAGATAATTAGTACATTTTTAAGTTTATTTAAGTAATCGTATATAATATAGAGGTAACTTTATTTAAAGTCACTGTATTATGAACGCATAAAGCATTCCATAAAGTCATGTTTATATGACGGTGCTAAAATATATTGTTAGCCATCAATGTTTTAATGATCGTAAAATAATTTTATTGATTCGAAATTTTTTTTTGTAATATATTTTTTTCCGAATACTTTTCTATATCAAGTGTTAACATTTTTTAATTTTTTTTCATCCCTTAACTGAATTTCCTTAGATAAGTACAATGCTTTTTCGGATTTTCGCTGATTTTGCACTCGAATGGAACTTTGCAATAATTTTATTATTAAAGGTTAGTTAAATTAATTTGCCTTTGAGAATTCTCATATTAAATCTTTTTTTAATTGTACAACGTATTTTATCTATACGTTTTCGCTAAGAGAAGTTTCATTCAATTTTAATGAAAATTGAATATATACCGTAATTTTTCTAATGCTTCTAATTTCGAAATTGTTGCGGAAAACATCAAAGCAATTGCGTGATAATCAATTCGAATCATGAACTGTCGGCGTAAAGCGAAAGAAAGACAATATAACGATAAGTTCTAGACAACCGATTTGTCAATAGGATCTAAATGAATGAGAAGTAGAATGACCAAAAGAGGAAACTGGTGTTGATCTTTTGTAATTTAAGTTGATGTCGTGATTTTTCAAAGGCTGATTGGAGAGAACAGTGTCCAATACAAAATCGTAACGCACGTACCGATTTGCAAGTTAAACAATCTTGAAGCTGTATCAGATAAATTTAAATGTAACGTTCGTGTTTGTTCCGGAAGAAATAGAGTTATAATGAATTAAATGTTTACCACTTAAATTATTTTCATTTGATTTTCAGCAAGTACAAAAAAAAAAGAAAAAAATAACTTTTTGAAGTAAGGAATAAAGGTTATAGTGTAGATTCTAGATTAATTGATATTCTATTGCTGTCCCATTCTACGCCTGCAAAAATCTAGATCATTCAAAAACTTAATTTTTATATAATAATAATTAAAGAAATATGAATTTGTTCTAAAGGTGGCGAAATTAGTTCCTGCGTTATCCAGAATAAATCAAAATGTTAACTCCTAATTTTGTTGTTAAGTAAGATGTAATGGAGTTGAAAGCGAATAAAGGAAGTGGATATCGATCAATTTACAAAATAAATAAAAAAGTTGGCAAGATATTTATTAAAAATCAAGTAAATACAAAGAGCATTATTTTCCGAATATCAAATTATAAAATGATGAGTTTAAAATGACCTTTAACTTTTATAATATTTCAAACTTGTCATTTGAACGCACCTAGAACAAGTTTTAGAAATTACTTGAAAGGGTAAATTAATAAAAGACACTGAAATTAAAAATAATCTACTAAATTAAATAATACAAGGAAATAGTAAATATCACAAAGTCATCCCAACTTCACACGTGATTGTTACAGAAAAATTTAAATGTCAAATCCATAAAAAATATTCCCGGAAAAGTCCCGTATTATACATGACATTACAAATTAGTAAATTATATGATCCGGCCATTTATATTAAATTATATTATCGCCCAAGCAGCAATTCTCGGAATTGACACGAATGGCGCAGTGAGCCCAAGAATTGTGATTGAACAATTTTATGGACTTTTAATTTTTAATCGATTAAACATTGGCTTGTCAGTTATAAGCAGAGGGATTTTTTTTTTCTAAATATCGGCAACACTAACACTTAAATTACCAACGATTTGTTAAAGAAGCAGACTTTGATTAACAAAATCACCCGATCATATTAATTTATTCAATTTAGTAAATTTTTCAATCTTTAAAATTCAGTATGGGCGTAATACCTGAAAATGGAAATAAAAAAAAGCGATTACAATAATTAAAAAATGTTCAATTATAAAGTTAAAAAAATATATATATAAATAATCATCAATTAAATGAAAAAAAAATACGAAATAAAAAATACATGAAGTTTGAAAGAGAAAAATATAAAAAAAAAATAAATTAAAAAAATTGGGGCGGGCATCGCAGGAAATATCACTAAACGATAAGGGGATTAGCAGCCCACCCGGAAGATCTAATATTGAAAGAAATAAAATCTGGCAATGTATAGATATATTAGAATATTAAAATGGTTTTACAAACAATAATATTTATATAATAAAACTACCTGTCCTTGAGGTATTAAAGCCAGTTTCCTAGATCGCATTCGAGTTCAATTTAATAACGAGTGCTTGTCAAAAAAGAACATGATGCAGCTAAATTGCACATTCTTTTTTAGGAGTCATTATATAAGACCACTCTGAACTATGGATTTTGTAATTAATCATTTAAACCTTAAAATTGAAGCTTCATGCATTACGACAGACGAAACCATTTACACCTGACAGTTACCAAAAATATCTCATAGGATACAGATGATGTGTCAAACTTTGGACGGAAATATCACTAAACGATAATGGGGGATTATGCATCCGGAATGATCCTGTTACATATGATGAGATAAAAAAAATATATATTTTAAAATGAATGAAATCTATGAATACCGTTAGAAAGAATTAAAAAATAGA